ATTCCACACAAACACTTGATGCAAAGACAGCTGTCATTCCAATACAAATGTAGATGTAGTTAATGTGTGTTAGAAGTGGAAATAAAATCATTTGAATCCTGACTGCAATTTTCACATATTTAGAAGTCTTTACAAATAATACTGAGTTTTCTGCTCATTTATGACTCATGGAAACCAGTTTTAAAATACCAGTTGAACCCTCAATTTTTTAGGGCTGCTGTCTTTGATAATAATGTTAAGAGACTGTTCAGTCTTGAAAGTCTACATAGGAAACTGAAGCTGCTACACGGGTGTGGTCTTTGTTTGGAAATACAGTCAGTTTTATTTCAGTCACAGATCATGATGCTAAAAGACTTTCCATCTGTTCAATAATGTCRTTTAAATGTTTGTATGGCACTACCATAACAGTCCTATAAGGTATCAATACTGTGTCRTCATAACCCCATTTGCCTCCAATTAAAGTGTCAACTACTGCAGGATAACTAAAGCTCATGACAGACTCCTGTATAGATGAAAAAAAATAGTGAATGAATTAGTCATGACAGATGATGGAAAAGTACAGTACAATKGAATATAAATACTAATAYGTTTATTAGAGCAATRTCACATAAGCAATGTTTTGCATKCAAATTAATTTTGTGATTARTGYATRCACGTGCCTACATGCTTTGAGAACAATGAACCAGCTGTAAATCACAACATGCACAACTGATTTTTGTTTTTATGATGAAAAATCAACATTTGACAACATATAGATCTATGAAAAGTCAACTCTTTTTCTAATTTATATATTTGAATGTGTATTTCCCAACCTATATGCATGTTGCAATTTTTACTATTCATAAAATCCAACTTAACACTATATAGCATGCACGTTATGCRTGTCTCGTTCATATTTGTTGGAAAAGATCAACACGCCTCTACTTTAATGTGTCTTCAAACCTTCAAATATATATTGACTGATTGTCAGACAGGGTTATCAATCAAGGGTTATCAAAAATATACCAGTAGTTAAAGACTGCAGCTTCACTGCTACCTTCACGTTCTTTCATTACAACGTTGAAACCTATTTATGTAGAGGGACAAGAAGAGATGCAATCAAACCAGATGAAATACGCAGCGAAAGCGTCACCCCAGCGCAAGAATTTTCTATGTCGTCAACTGACAGTGAGGGTGAAGTAAATGAAGATGAGTCAAGAAAGAAGAAAACATACAGGGAATTAGCACGCGAAGCACAAGAAACTGACAAAGATTTGTGCCACAAGGCATGACAACTTTAGATAACAGGCTTGATGGATATAAAGTCACAAATGGACATTGTGTGATACTAATTACATCAATCTTTATTTTGTCAAATTTTCCATCTTCAGAATAAAAATGAAATAAAAATCAACTGTTGCAATGCTTTTCAGCAGTTCACTGAAGCATGTAGGCATTTGTGCACTTCATTATCATACTATTTTACTTGCAAAACTCATTTGCATGCAAGACATTGCTTATGTGATATCGCTCTATTATATAATCAAATAGTGTCTGCGATTACAAACCCAAATTACTAAATTACTACAAATTATTCTCAAATATCTTACCTTATRYAATATTTCATCCTCAGCATTACTAAAATTTAACTCTTGCCCTTTTTTTGCTTTTTTGGATAATTTTTTCCCCTTTTTATTGCTTGAGTTTGCTGAGTTGCTATCTTCTTTTTCCCTGAATGATTTTGAAATCAGCACAAGATAATCTAAGCTTGAACTCTTATCCTTAAAAAAACATAATATATAATAAATTAAGTTTAAAACTGCTTAGCCTAATTTTAAAGGTGACAATCAAAAACAAACCTTTTTGTAATGGTGCTGTAGCTCTGTCCTGAAAAAAAGTTTGTAAATAACATCATTTGTGCATTAATAACAAGCATTGCTGATTTCACTTTATGTGTATTGTACAAAAGGCCATTCATGAACATAGGGTGGTTAGTACCTTAATGCCTTATAAAGTGGAAGAGCAACTTGTGGTGGTATATTGATGAATCGCTCACTAAATAATAGACCAATGACTTTATCACCATTCATAATCTCCTTGAAATTGCCATATGCTTGATCATCAGAAGCCTTGCATTTTTCCAGTAAGAGTTCCTTGATTTGCTGGATACATTTCTTTTCCTATTTAATTCAAGTATTTAATTTGTGGGAAATCAATAGAGCTCTTGTTCTCATGATTTATCAAGAAACGATAGTATTGAGTTGATGCTGGGTGGATAGAATACATTAGATGTTCAGTTTATCCACTAAAGCCTTCAGTCTATTGTTTGGTAATTATTAATGCCCATTCAAGTCTCTTTACATGACAAACCTTGTATTTCATGAGATCCAACATTGTAATCAGACCAAGAATTTCCTCCTCATAGTCCTCCTCACTACTGGTGCTGGGACCATTTTGCTCTTTTTGTTCTTCTTTTTCATTTTCCTCTTCTTCATCTTCATCAACCACCTTAAAATAAAAGCATTATAAAGTGAAAAGGTCGACCACTCAATCCAAGATTTAAGGGCAAAGAGGGACTTTTTTCTGTCTGCCCAATTGAGGATGGCCTGTATTCTGTAATGCAACAGTATTTTTGAATTTATGAACATATGAAATGAAATGTTTATTGAATCTTCTCTCACACCTCATGGATAGATGCTACAAAAAGATCGCCAGATATGTCATGGAAGCCCCAGAAATACCCAAGTTCCCATTAGCTGATGCATATGCATAGAGATAGGGGATAGCCTCCACTAAAAGGCACGTAGAAGGTAAACAAACTGCTAACATGTCTACTATCCAGCCAAAATAGTATACATCTAATCATCTTTTTTCACAAACACATCACATGGGTGAAATCATTACCTTGATGATACTACCAATCTTCTTTTGTGAGATAATAATATCTGCAAGTTCTGACAGGTCAACAGAGCTTTTCAAAAACAACTAAAAAAGAAAATTCCTAAATACATCAGATTTGATAGAACAGCCTGCTTGCACATGTATTAATTTAAAGCTTGTAAACAGAAACAAGTTTTAATGGCAATACCAAAATCTCAGACACGTTACCTGTTTAAGGAGATTTCGCATTGCATTAAAGTCACATTCAGCGGGTGGAAATGCTTCAAATTCAACAGGGATTTCCTACAATATTAGAGTATAATTAATAAGTAAGTTTCTCCTTTAATAACTAGCACATTAAAAAAGCACTTTACAGTAAGTAAAAGTCATGATAGAAATCAGTTTACCATATTTTCATCAAAACTCTCATGAGAAGCAACATCCTCGCTATCAGATTCATTGGATGAATAATCATCGCTCGATTCATCTATTTTTTGCCGTTTCTTTCCTTTCTGGCCCTCGTTCTTGGACGCCATATTGAATGGTGACCGAGGGAGACTAGATACGATCCACAGGAGCCCCGTAAGATTTCTTGAAATATTACAAAGAAAGGTCTGAATTTGCAATACATGTCAACTAAAAAATATGTAGACCTACGATCCTTTCTATTCTATATAGATTTATACTTTAGCAGACTCAAAGTCGAAAGGAAATGTGAATTAAAAATCCACGGAATGCTTATGGGTTTCCTGTGGAGCTGTGATTGCTCAGGAAAGCCTGGGCGATGTACGAATGTGAAGATGTGATCCTAGATTCATGTAAAAATTCAATGTTTTTGGCAAAGTTTTGCCAATATGGGCGAGACAAACGTCGTATCTAGCACCACGAATGGTTTTTCTTCACTTCTAAGACCTCAGAAAAGTAAGGTTAATTGTATTTACTGAGGTTTGATACACAAACTGCAGGACCTTTAAATGGCGGCAATTAGTCGGTTTCTCCGATGACAAAATGCGAATATTTCTCAGAAACAACACACTTAAACTAAAATATGGTCATTTTGATCAGTAATATTAAATAGCTTCAAGGAAATAGGCTTATTTTTTAGCTTCATTTACCCTATTAAATGCAATTTAATAGATAACAAATATGTCAGTCTATGAGCTGACGTAAGCTTATTTTGTTTTTGGTTTGCATACTATATGTTTAAATTAAGGTTGGTTGATTGGTTTATCTCATTGTGTAATAGTTGACAGGTTGGTTCTTGCAACTGCTAAGTGAGCTTTTGCATCTTGGTTGTCTGAATGAATTAGCCAGTTTGCTCATTGGTTTGCTGGATGACTGCTTGGTATATGTTTTAATAGTAGATTTATAAAATACATGCCTTGATTTTCTTTAGTTCCCACCGTTAGTGATGAGGAATATGCTGCAAACTTTTGGCCAAAGCTGGAATCTGCAATCCTACTGATCCTGAGACAAAACCCAGGAGAGTTTATTCCCATTTCATATGAAGAAATGTACAGGTATTGAATATCTTTCTATTTCACGTCTGGTTGTAACATTATCCTTCCACATTTCCTTTCTCTCTGTAGCCTTTCCCTCATCCCATGACCACCATCCCATWTATTTTCTTGGTTCTCTACTATCCTATGCCAGGTCTTCTTAGACCTTCCTCTCTTCCTTCTGGTGTCCATGTTATACAAAGGAAATATTCTTGGTGTGCAGACACATGACTAATAGCATAGCTATTTCCACCATGTTGGATGAACAAACAAGAGAAACTAATGACCAATTCTCTGTTAATTTTACCAGATGTGTTGACATGATGCTGGATGCATGCATGCTAGAACATTGACCGTAACAGAGCATATTTTTAGTTGTTGTGGCTAACAACCACCAAATTATAGGAACAAGTAGGGGGAACAATAATGTTTGAAATTTTGAATCTCAAAAATGTGATTTCCAGCAAGTAGGATTAAGTAGCTAGAGCTTACTTTTTCATATTTCCTAAGGTGCAAATAAAAAGAGATGGAAGAAAGCACCTGCCTGCTCTGCTGATCTGTTTTACACTTTGGACCATTTGGTCCTCAGAAAACCTAAAGTGCATTTAAAATCAAGTTGTTGATTATTGGTGATAAGTCAGTAAGCTAATGACTGTCAGTATGGTAATTCATGGTGTTATTGTTTCTAGTGCTGTCTACAAGTGTGTTTGTCAGCAGTACTCTGAGAAGATGTATCATAATTTAATGTCTCTTGTTGCAAACCATTTAAAAGAAGTGGCTGAGAATTTACAGGTACAATGATATGATCTTGTGCATTAGGGCTGGCAAAAATATTTTCATTATGATTTGCTTCAACATTCATTCAATTTTTTCCGAACTAAAACACTTTAGAATGGGGCTTTCCATATGAATCAATGATGGCTCAATTTATTTGATTTTTTTTTTACATTGTTTGTGCACTGCTGTTGCTTTTGGTCTGTATATCGCAAATGCTTGAATTTGAATATCTTAAATGCCAATATAAAAAAAAACGTTTGCAGACCAATCTTTCAACACCATATAACACAGTTCTACAGCCTTCAACAAAATGGAATTGATTAATATACTTTGTGCCATCCTTAACATCTGCAAATGTAATTTGTACTAATGTATAATGTTTTCTTATTTGAAGCTTTCACCTTCTGGGGAAGTATATTTAGAGAAATTCAGTTTTTCAATGGCTCAGTACTTACAAGCAGTTAGTGGTATTGTAGCAATTTTTAATTATATGGTAAGATGGGTTTTCATTAAACTCTTAGATGTGCATATCAAWTACTAAATGTTTACATATCCCACAGAATCGTTTTTATGTTGTCCCAAAACTCCACACAGACTTGACATCAGAGCTCAAGAGACTGTTTATACATGGAGTGGCTGACAATTCCTTCTTGTTTAGTAAGCTCATTTTGTTTCTTGTGCTTCTATCATATTGTAATGCAGCCCTAACATGTCTTGTTATTTGCAGCTACAATAGAGAAGTCATCTCAGTGTCCTTTTGCTGTGAGCCCACAGRTCATGATGTGTGTTATCAAGGGACTATACTCGCTTAATCCAGGTATATCAAACTCCTTTACTGAAAAATGAATATCATATTTTAACTTGTAATTTTCTTGTAGAATTTGCAGACAGGAACCCTTCATTGTTTGCAAAGTATGTTCCTAATTTGTTACCAGCCTCCACACACCAGGATTTGCCTGTAATAATAGAACAAACACAAAAACTACAACATGAACTTATGGAAGAATATGGATATACCAGGTATTACTTCATGTGATTGATTTTTTGATTGATTATTTTATAATAAAAGACTATTATTATTATTATTATCATCATTATTGCTTGCTTGCTTGCTTGCTTGATCGAGTTATAGACTTACGTTTTCATTGGTTTACTTATATGTTTACTTACTTCCAATGTTTTATAGAGATAATTCTGATAGAAAGCGGCGCAGAGATGACCTTCAAGGTATGTTTAAGTTCTTTTAGCAATATTTATTCATTTATTTATTGTGTATATATTTATTATTTACAGAAAATGATGAATAAGTTGGAAGCCCTATCCAGGTATTGCGACAGATTATTCCACCATTTCTACATTTTTCTTGGAATCAGTAGTCGATGTTTTATTGAAGACTAATACAACTGAAAAACCAGCAGTTTATCGCTGGCACGCTACCAGGTCATGGGTGTATCATTTTCGTTTTGTTTGGTCGACTGGAACCTTAATTCCAAGGATATATTGTTATTTATGTACAAGTACTGGAAGCTCACTCAAACAAACTATGGCTGCTGGAGACAACATWTCTCATGCCCGTTTTTAGATACAGTCTAATTTTTTCTTCAAAATGCTGGTCTTTGTCTCGGCAAATTGCTGCATAGAAATTTCTTTTTCTTAGTTTTTGTAAGGAAATGCAAAAAATGAAGTTAATAAAGTTGGCATTAATATCTACTCATGAAAAACGTATATGTTTGCCTGTACTCACTGTGATCTCACAGATTAGTTCAATCAATGCGTTTGACAGTCATTAGGGTTTTTGGCAATGCTATGTTAATACCTGCAGGATCTGATTCTACATGTGCAACTACCTTTTTTTACTGACAGACGAACAGTGCGGACATAAAGGRTGACACCGATTTTTTTCTGGCTGTGTAAAAACGCGCTGTTGGGTGACAGACCAGYCATTCACCGCTGGCCAACCTTGTTGCAAGTGCTCTGTAAATAGGACGATTATCTTTGTTCTATGTCCGTCAATATCAAAACTCGTCACAGCAGCCTGTCAGCATGCACGGCTGTCCTTCATTTAAGAAATATAAAACGACGCGCGTGTCTCTGTCCTCTGCATATAAACATGGTGGGAGTTCGAAAAACACGAGCGTAGCGAGTGTTTCCCTTGCTTCTCGAGTGTTTTTCAACTCCCACCGTGTTTATATCTGAGGACAGAGACACAAGCTGCCGTTTTATATTTCTTTTATAAAATTTTTCGAGCAAAAAGCAAATTTTGCCGGTAAGCCGTGTCTCTGTCCTCTGATATAAACACGGCCGTCAGCCAATCAAAGCGCGCGTTATATATCGAAAATTTTATWAATATTTTTTATCAATCGTATATAGTTACTGATGCGCTATTGATGAGGGCGCATCTTGGGTCCAAGAACATCCCGGTCGTGTATGGCAAAGTGGTCTGGACACGAGAATCTGGGCACGAAGCAAATACCGCTTGATCTACCTTAACACCTCTGGTATCTTTTGTTGTAACGAGGTTTGAATGCATGAMGGATAAGACTAAACGATGGCTAGCAACAGATGGCTAAATTACTGAAAATACAATAGTTATAAAATCACTACAAAACAAGACTTTATTATAGAAAAGACGTGTTTGTTCATATTTCAGGGKKTTTTTTTTCACCTTAAACTATGAAAAGATCGCTCTCAATTTAAGTGATTGAAACTGAAATCATATCATTATGATGCAAAAAAATCGTGAATCAATAAAACCGATTCAAGCAGAGTTAGTAGTAACTGATTCAAGAAGAGTTAGTAGTAACTGATTCAAGATATGATGTTGTTGTCATGTAATTGATGAAAATATTCTGTCATCAACGTGCTAGTACACACTGTGTTGTTCAAACATCACTGCATGTAGAAATCAACTCAAGAAAATTGATCCTTTAACAATTAATTTTAGTGCCAAATGTTTTTGTACAACTCTRTATTTCTTGATTTTATGCAAATGTATCTAATTATTTCGATGGAATCTGCTGTAAGAGGAGTTCTAGCAGGTCTTAATCCATTTCTATTGTGATACTGGCTGTGTTCGGTAACTTTGCATGTATCCAGCCCACCCGACATAAYAAGCAAGCAAAAGGTCACTATAGTTATTACCATCAAATCATCTCAACGAAACGCGAATGTGTCTAAACATTCTTTTATTCGAGGAGACAATGAGGTTCGATTTAAACGTCTAATTAAGAGTCCTTTAGAACTTTTGTTTCTGTTTTTCTTCAAAACAAATGAAATACAAAAAAGGTTTTTACCAAACTGTCAGGTGGTTTAGCAACCACCATGCTTTGTGAAAATCCTTTACCGGCACATGTATTAAATAAAGCAATCCAGTATTGCATTTAACTTCTTTTTGTTACAGTTAAGTTACTGTATGTACGTTTCGACGAAACATTGCCTCGAGATATTGACGATTCACCACTAGTTAAAAATCTAGAAATCATGATTACGAACAAAAACTCCTTTCTGCACTCAACTCAAAAAAGATTTGAATTTKATTTAAAATAAACTATCTAAGGCGCTACATAGTAGAGAGGAAACTCTATTTCTAGTTTAACGAGTAAAAGTCAGTAAATCAACCGTACATAGAGGCTGAATGGCATATGAGGACGGCCTGGCGGCAGAAGGGGATTGACATGCTTTTGGATTTAATGGGCCATTACCTTGTAACCATTGCCAATAAAGAACAAATTAGGCAAAAAAATCTACGACTTAATGCCATGAAAAGGCACATTTTATTCAAACGAATTGACGCCCCGTTGAAAAGTTGACAAGAGAGTTATATTGTTTGATGAACTTTATCAATTAAAGATAGAATTAGTTTGTGAACAAATGACAGCAATCGACGTTTACCGAAAGCTACTTTAGCTCATTGGAGTTGCCAATTAATAGATTCTCAAAATRTATAGATTGTTTTAATACAGATTTGTTGAAGAAATATCTCGGTTCAACAGTTTACGAGGTGTAGGTCATTCAAAGATTTGCATTGTTGCGTAGCAAATCCCACTCGAATTAACCCTGCTATTCTTGAACACTTGCAGGCATCTAACGAACGAAAAATGACGTTTTGCGATGAATGCCATTTCTTCGGCTGGGAGTCTAGTATTAATGTCATATGTGTAAGGTTTCCTGTTCTTAACAAAGGAGCCAGAAACAAAGGGACATGCTAAGTACAAGTTAGTAAAGTATTAAATATGTAGATGCGCTTGGTCAATCAGAGACACGTGTTTGTGAATCGCAGTCAGTTACAATGAATAACAACACAATGGTTTGATGAATCTTGCTTTATGTGAGAAAACCCTAGATTTCAGACAGATAACAAGAAATACTTTCCTTGTCGCTATTCACTGGCTTGTGGAGAGTGAAGTGGTATTTGAATCTGGCTGTCCTTTGAACTGTCCTTTGCTTGAAAAGCCATGCAAACAGTTCATTTACACAAAACAAATCCTAGTTAACTAACTTGAAATAACTGTCTAATGCAAGTTGCAAACAATGGCATCAGGAAAAGGCGTCCTGTCCCCAGATTACTACCCAAGAGATGATGGCGAACAAAAACAACTTCAACACAGACAGAGAACTCGAAAACCCTGGCAAATCCTGTGCGGTATTTGTGAAAAACTTGACTACATAACATGCTGTGGATTCGTGTTCTGTAAACGTTGTTTGATTCGATGTTTCCAGTTCCGTCAATCGGTGTTCACCAGAATGGCTTACATTGGTTTTCTATTGGGTGGTTGTCTAATATGTTGCCTAATGCTTTCTCCAAAGACAAGGGCGTTGTTGAGCGATAGATTTTGTCAAACTATAACATACTTTGTATGTGACACTGTGCGTGGTTATTCTGCTGCATACAGGGTGTTCTCATCTATCTCTATATTCTTCTTTCTATTGGCAATCATGACATTTGGCATATCGTCAAGTAATAACCATCGTGCTCGTATTCATAATCACTACTGGGGGGTCAAGATCTTGTTGCTTACGTTTTTCGTCTTTTCGTTTCTATTTGTACCACATTCCGAGTACAGCGGGGAAGTGTGGATGTTTTTTGGACTGAATGGGGGATTTGCGTTTATAATACTACAAAGCATTCTTCTGATGGATATTGTACATTCATGGAACACTAGTTGTGTGGAGAAATTAGAAAATTCTCAGCATGACCGTCGTGCCTTTCGTCTCTGGTACGCCATTCTCTGGGTGCCCACTATAACTTTGTACAGCGTCTCCATAATCTCTATAGGTCTATTTTACGCCCAATATGCGCAGAAAGGATGCTACAATAACATGTTTTTTATCAGTTTTAACATTTACCTGTGCCTTGCTGCGACCTATATATCTATTAACCCCTCCGTTCAAGAGAGGCGCCCGCGATCCGGTCTTCTCCAGGCATCAGTGGCTACCACTTACAATACTTTTATCACGTGGTTAGCGCTGTCCAATGCCCCGGATGAAGAATGTAACCCATCACGTGCTTATCTATTTCCCGGAAGTACGTTACATAACGTGCAAATGTTGCTGGCGCTGGGTCTGATGTTCTTCTTGTTAATTTGTACCAGTCTTAGAGAGGTTTCCTCCCCTCAATATGGAAAAATCAAACTTTTTTCCTCGCGACATTTAGGGACAGCAAGCAATAAAAATATCGAGATAGACCCCATGGCCGACAATCCAGACCTGCAGAACGACAAACCAAAGACAATTGTAAAAGATAATGAAGACGATGGGGTTGAGTACAGTTACTCTTTCTTTCATGCCATGCTTTGCTTGGGATCCCTGTTTGCTATGATGACCATAACAAACTGGTACCGACCAGAAGAAGAAGAGAACCTTACAGTCAAGCTTATATCTAGTTGGGGCTCTGTATGGATACGCATTTCTGCTGCTATTTTTAGTGTTTTTATCTATATATGGACATTGGTGGCACCTGTCATGTTTCCTAATTCTTACAAAGATCTAGTCTTCTTTCAATTTATGTTGATGGGCGATCACTAACTCGTAGGTGTAGAATAGAAGGAGGTATTTTATATCGCAGCGTAGGCCAGGCTATTTCTTTAATTTATATGAACATTGATTTTGTAATTATAGCGATATAGTGGATGCACCGTGAAACAAATATTACGACTATCTACCAAATGATGTTGGTAAGACAACAGAGCATCATTTMTCTTCAGTTTTGCACTGGTTTTGGTTCACGGATTAAGYGTGTTCACTCTAAAATATAGAAATGTTGATATATGTAAATCGTTAGTCTTCAGGTTACCTCTAACAACAAGTGTAGGTTACAGTCACTGTCTAAATCTTTGCTCGYAGTAATTACCACTTTAGAGGGTAATGTAGAAACGATTCTTCTGATTCTTAGCTACAGTTGTTAGAAATCCAATCCTTTTGTAATCATCATTTTTTATCTCAAAGGCTAAGGATACATTTAAAGGTAGTTTGTTTGTAAATTTTAGAATAATCATAATTTTTGTGGCATATAATTGCATGTATAAAACTGTTGTCGTTAATATAATGCATTTAATCATAATGATACTGTGTTATTACTGACTTTCCCAAGACAGATATGGGTGAGTTTCGTTT